AGCTAGTTATGACTTCTGTGTTTTCAGTAAGGCCCAATGGATTTCTCATTCATGAAATAGCTCAATGTTCTTTTGAGCCTGTACTTAATTAAATCTTCCCTGCCCCTCCTCACTTTGTTTTTAATCACTAAATCTATCAACATAATTAAAGCTTGTAGCATTCCAGTCAAGCTTCTAAATGTAACATACTTCTTCAGCAAATATTTTGTCGTTTTATTTTTCTGTCCTGGGTAATTCTTAAGCCAATTATTTTAGTAAGTAACAGAGAGTAATCCTTTGATCCTTCTGTACTTCTGCCCTTTGTGGGAGCCTGTAGCTTTTGTTGCCACAAGCTTATGAAGAATATATTTATCAGTTAATATGTAAAAAGTTGGGTTCGAGGACTTAACCACAGTTACTAAATGTTGATTGGGAAGGGAGTTTATATTTGCCAGATCATACTTTTATGACCAAATATGAGCATCTGGGACCGTTCTGAGGTTGATATACCCTTTGCTTTTAGAGTGACCATGATTTTCTTCCAAGTATTAACACTGGTCTCTTCTTTGTATTGATATGGTTTCTTAAAATGCTGTTTCGAAGGCTTCAAGTTGTAAATCAGGGCTTTGGAGATTGTGGGAACATTAAGTTATGTAAAGTTGGATAAAGTTACTTTTTATCTCTCTATAGGTTATTAATCTAGTGTTGCATTTGATTGTGGGGAAATGACTTCAATGTAATAAAATAGTCTGAAACATTGGTGAGGTTCATGAAAATGTCAGAAATCTGTATCCATCTTTAACCTAGAAGCCTCCACCTTAATATATGTTTTTCATTATACTTACTTCAAATTTTTGCACATAGTTTTGAACAGGTTTTCATTGAAAACTTACTATCGAAGAACCTTGTAAGTCTTAAAAAAACGTGCCATTACATGCATGTACATGAAATTGTAATATAGTTAAACAGCTGTTGGTAACTCTAGTTTCTTACATGTAATCTTTACCATTATGCATTTTTGTAGGTATGTAATAGCTTTGAATTTAATGAAAAAATGTAAGTATTCTTAGATAGCATTTTAACAATTTACAAGAAAGGCTTTTTTTCTTTAAAAATTAAGAGATTGAAAATCTGAATGTTTTGAACAGGTCTTCAAATTATCTTTTTGTACCAAATATATAATGGCAATTTAAGCTTAGTAAGAAAATAACTTGCTCTCAAAAATGTTAAAAGGCTCCTTAAAGTATTTAGAATACAGCAGGCATGAGCTCCAGCATAAAGCTGGGGGACCACCAGGTGGTGCTAGTGGAATAGATTTAATGTTGGTTTAACAGTCGTTTAAATGTATCTTTACAAATGTGAATGGGGTGGGTGCATATACGAAAACTTACTTTCTATGCAACAAGCCTGTTTGTACAACTGAAAAGAGTTAAATTGAAATATTGTGTAGCGGCTTTGTGGTTTGGGCACCTTTAATTTTAAAATGTTGAATATAGATGCTGAGGGGAAAAAAATGCTTATCTGTAGGATCGATAATGTGGGAAGCGGGCAGTATAGAGGCATAGTCCTAGGTATTTTACCTGTGTTTTTGTTAATTCAGAGAGCATTTATGAAACTTGGCTGTTCATGTATTATAAATATATCATATCATGACCACTTGCTTATTTACCTACTACATTTTGACTCTAAATAGCAAAATAACTTCTTAATAATGTTGTTTCAACTGTTAAGATTTTGGTCACTGGAGGATCTTTTTTCATAAGGAATGCACACAAATAAGGATCTCATTTTGTGAGGGTGTGAGGGGGGTCTAGTTTTCTTTTTTAATGCATTATGTGGCTTAAAAAGTCAAAGTTGAAACAAATTCTAGTTATGAACACATACAGATTTTTAGATACTGTTTTTACCAACTCTTGTAAGGTCTTTCTTTTGATTATCTTGAAAATTGTATCCCTTAAAAAAAAAAAAGGGGAGGAGGGAGAATTAGAGAACAGTGTGGACTGCAGTAGTTCAGAGTACATTTCTATGGCCTGCTGATTTGAGCAGGTTCGGTTTTGTCTTAATGTACCCTGACATAAAATATATATATATTCTTTGAAAGCATGATACAGAGCATTTTACAACATTAAATTAGCATAAACTATCCTATATAGCATCACCCTTTTAAAGAGGAGTAGAATTAAAAAAAAAAAAAACCCACAACACCAAAAAAACCCAGGAAAACACAAAATGTCTCTAAATCCAAGTGACTGTCTCTTGTCTAGTCAAAAAGTAAAATCCAGAACATCTGCAGACAAAAATTCCCAAACCTATTTTGCTTGTAATCTTAGTGTTGTGACCAAGCTAAACGTTTTAGCATTGGATGTGCCGGTGTCACGTTAGTAACCACCTCACTGTAGCTAGAAAGAAACTAAATCAAACCACATGACAGCCACTAATAGGTCTGTAAAATCTTGGTTGACTATGGTTGAACAAAGCAGAGGATGGTTTCTTTGGAGTTTGTGGCCCTATGCATTTACTCTGGGTAACAAATGTATTTACAGTCTGGGTTTCACTGCCTTGGGCACAGCAGTATGGGGTTCTCTGAGCAGAAATTCTTCCCCTCTCCTCTTCCAAGTCTGCTACACCAAATACTTCATAGAATAACTACATGCGTACACAAAACCATCTCAGAGTGGATGTCAAATATCCAGTGTGTGCTACTTCTGAAAGTGCTTTTTTATCTTGTTTTCCTGCTTGAGATAAATTTTTACTTGGCTTCCCTCCCTCCTCTTCCCCCTGGTGTATAAATGTTCTCACACTTGAGGAAAGGAAATGTGCTCTCTTCAAATGTTTCTTTCTCCTATCCTGAGTTTAATTTTATTTACTCATTTTAGCAAGGAGTTTTTGTACTACCTACCTTAAAATTTGGCAGGGCACTTACTACCATAGAATGATAGTATTATTGCATTCCTCTCGCTTCTGAAAATTGTCAGTGTAGCATTAATGAGAATCGATAAAATGTCAAGTGTATTATAATTCCCATCCGTGTCTCTCTGTTTTTTCATGGCACAAAATACAGAGAGAAATCAAGCAATAAGCTACATGCAGTAATACAGTTTATAGTACAGCACTGTAAAAGTGTGAACTTCAAAACACTGATATTAAACTTTGATTAAAAAAAAAATCATGTATTGAATTTAGAAATTGCACGAGAGGTTAACTTTTGGATCTGTTAGAATACAAGGAGGTTGAAAAGCAATTAATTAAAGGCTGTTGGAAGTATGTGCTAACGTGTGCGGTTTTTTGGAAGCAATTTCCAAAACGGGAGTGCTTGCCAGGTGCTGCCTTTATAAGGTGTGAACAGGTTAATACGTTCTGCTGCATTGTTCTTTAAACTACCTGTTCATCGGAAAAATCAGGCTTCTGTCAACGTCTTCGTTTTTCAGCAGTTAGGTTTTTGTGATATGACCATATTTCTGAACTGTGTTACAGGACTGTTTTCTGAATGTCATTTACAGTGTTGGAATGCCCATAATACTGCATCTTTAGAAAAGATTATATAAATAGTTTCATTTTCATTTGTCTCATTCAGCTCGTCTGAGCAATTTTTTTCTCCGTTAAGCCGGTTGTTTGAAAAGGTCTGGAGGCATGCAAAAGAGAACAGCATTTTCTTCTTTGTATTTAGTGAAAGATCCGGTTTCTCTGTAATATCGAAATATTCTTTAGAGTTTTGAGTAACTATAAAATCTGACTTGTGTGTACAGCACTCTACCAAATCCCAGTTTGAATTGGCGGGGATCTGTAAAAACAACAGTAAGAAATTCTTACCTTTTATATCTGCATTTTACACTATTTACTGTTAACATGCTTGGAACATTGAATGGCTATGCGTTTTGTCTCTTGAGCTCTTCTCCCGCTTTTTCTAAAGGGTGCGGCTTCTAGGTATCAGTTTCTTTATTTAAAAATTTGACCTACTAAATGTTCTTTAAAGGAAAATGTATAGTGTAATTTTAAAACTATATAAAGCAAATAGGTTTTTTATTGAAAGGTCTGGTTCTTCAGGATTGTGGTTTCCCTCCTTACAGTGAAGATGAGGTTATTCTAAGAGCGGAATAGTAAAAGTAAAAATAGTTCTGACACTGGCAGTATTCCTCTCCAGTGCAGTAGCTGTACGATGCCTTAATTATCAGCCTGAAACTCAAGTTCTGTTGAAGTTATTTGAAGAAATATACTGTTGATGCAGTGGTGTCAAAATTTCAGATCTGAAAATAAACTTACACTGTGAATGCTTGATTGCTGTTTTCTCTTGAGTGGAACTAGAGCACTCAAGGGTTTTTTAATTACGTGTTGTGATTTGAATTGGTGAGTTTATCATCATTACTGAATGAGTTTGAGGTGTGCGGTAGATAGATGAACTGAAGCTTAAGTTACTTGAAGTCATGCAGTCTGTGTTTTTCTTTGGGGATGGCAATGAGAGCAGGGAGAAGAGGGTATTAAATGCCGCTGAGAAGAGAGCTGCAGCTCTGTGGCTCATTCTATATCTAGTTGGGGTTTTTCTGAGTATTTTAGATAGTTAGCTTTAGACAAGTGTGTGCACACTCATGATTTGAGTTCATGTTATAATTTAATTGATGTTAGACTTTAGAATCTAGGTGTATTTAATGAAATTGTCAGGGTTTTGTTTTGTTTATGGAAGCTGGTTTGCCTAGTTACTTCTGGTAACACTTGTTTCTGGTATTCATTTTCTCTGCTGTAAGATTACTGCAGGGGCTGATATCATGCATGGTGTGTGTTTATAATAGGGCCAGAATTGAAAAAGACTGAATGTTGCAAGTCAGGGAGGGGTGTTTTGTCTTAAATTGAGATCTTTTCCTTTGTCTGTATTGTCTTACTTTCATAAATATTCAGTTGATTCAAAATATTTTTAAAGCATGAGGCTTTAAAAAAAACCCAAATAGTCAATTCAGTAATTTGCTAAGTCTTTCAGTTATGTTGTTCAGTTGTGTGGGTTTTTTTATGATTTGCCATTTATTTTTCAGCATTGTCAGCGAAGCAGGAGCATCTATCTACAGCGTCAGTCCAGAAGCGTCCAAGGAAATGCCAGACCTGGACCCTAACCTAAGAAGTGCAGGTATGAAGAATATTTAATTTTATCACTGTTTGAACAATAAAGCTCAATTCTCAGTTCTCAGACTGTATTGTTTATAATATTAAGTATAATAATAGTCAAAAGTATAAAAAGTGAAAGTTTTGGATGTTTTGTTTCTACGCTTTAATTCTTCCATCATTTCACATTTGAAGTCCTAGGTATGCAAATGACATCATTTTCTATTAAGGCCTGTAATGTATGGTCCTTGTGGACTTAATCCTTCAATCGGCTGGTAAAGGAGAATTTATGGGGATTAATATAACCAATGAATTACATAAACTTTCATTTGGGCATGTCTGTGCTGACAAGAGCTAGACTTTTCTTTTTCCTGTATATGTGCACAAATGTCTCTAAAAATAAAAAAGCATTTTAAGGTCTAGGAAAACAGAAGAGAATAGGTAATTTAAAGGTGTGCGTTCATCCTGAAAGATGACAATGGCACTTTCTTTACCTTCACTGTGATCACTTTGAAGTCTTCATGTAGCTGAATATAGTCCTCGAGAAATACTGTTTAGTTTCTAGGTTTTTTATTAAAAACAAAAAAACCAAAACAAACACAACTATTTCAGCAGAAATGTCACTGAGAAATAATACAGCCCAAGTGCTTAGAAACATAAAAGTGCTGTCACTGTTACAATTTTCAGTGTTTGGTAAAAGAGTAGTCTTTAAAGATCAAATTCCTAGCAACTTCATTGATGTCCAAATTTTACTCATGGATTTGGTTTATTGGGAGACAGCTGTAAGGGCAGGTCTAAGGTGTTTTTTTTTTTATTATTTCATTTGTGTATTTTTATTTTTATGTCTTTCTGTATTTGTTTTTATCTACCCCAGTTTTTTATTTTCTTGTTTTTCCTGCAATTTGCTGTTGTACTCAGTCAAATAAAGCACATTACATGAGCGTTACTGCATTTTCATAGATCTCTTCCAGCCAAAATGCTACTGCTATTAATTTTATTGTTACTTTAGCAGCTAACTGGCCTGGAAGTCCCCAGGAAGGTGTAGAAGTAGATTAGCAGAAATCAGTTCTGAAGTTACAAGGTATTTGGGGGAAAAAATTTCTAGGATTCCCCATGTTCCTCTTTCCTTTTACTTCCTCAAAGGGGAAAGAAGGGATTTGTGTTAACTCAGTGTTTCAAGTGAATGTTATTACAGGAATATTCTTTAAATGTCTGTATTGGCCCTTCCTTTTGGAAGACAGGCCTCTAGCTTATCTTTCACTTGACTCCTTGCTCCCTGCCTGCGAACAAACTCCTGTTGTGATTATTTCTTCCCTGGGCCACAGATTTTGAATGTGTCATGGTATGGCCAGACTGAACATTAGGCATGTGACATTTCTGTATTTGTGACAGATGCCACTAACTTTGCCTTGGGCCAAAGTTTTATATGTTGCTGATATATTAAACGTGGGTTTAGAGTTCATGTAAACGAACAGAAAAACAGTGAAAAGGAGGAAATCTAATTATTAACAATATACTTTTCCAGATGTAAATGATTTTCCTTTTTTCCCAAGTTAATTTTTGAACATTTCAGACATTTTTATTTAGTGTTGTGCATGAAATACAGTAAATGAAAATCAAATTTGTAATACATGACCAAACTCAATATTAATTACCTAGAGTTCATAATTCCTTCACTATTACTAGGAATTGCTTCAGGCATAACTTAAGTGCTGTTGCATCTGGTTTGAAAAGCATCAGCTATTTTAACATGCCGCAGCAGTACTACAGAGTACATACAAATTGAAAAAGGGTAGGATAGAAAGTGAAAAGTAATTGCTTAGTTCCGTGGATGTCAGCTGTTATGGAACTGACAGCTAGGAGTATATTTATTACAATACAGTCTTTCTAGAAGTTTTAGACTTTCTTCTTGACGTCTCTTGGTGTCAATATGTAATTAGTTGCACTAAAGATGTGGACTTTTTTTGAAGCTGAACATGAAAATGTGATACAACATTGGAGGGAAACACTAACTGATGTTTGGGTTTTTTTGCAAACTTTTTTTCTTTACTAGCTTTTACTTTTGTACTTTTGATTTTCCTTTAATTTGCATCAAACAGCGAAGTGACATGGTGTCAAAGCTGACTTGCTTTTTATTTTAATTTTTGTGTTACATCATGTCAGGTTCCGTGCTTACATGATAGCATTTAGTACATTAAAGGAAGCTGACAGCTGCATGATGAAGTGTGACATTTATAGTTAAAATAAAAGGTACAACTGATGTGAGATATCTGTGATCTTAATGCAGTTTGCCACTTTAACATTGTTCTCAACAAAAACTTTATAGAAGGGTTTTGGATTTTTTGAATTACACAGGTAGGCCTATGTTTGTCCATCAGGTACATAAGTGTGAAATATTAAATAATGCATATTATATGAGAACTTAATTTCACATCTTGTGATATGATCTCTGTCATATTTGCAGTGCTGCTTAGCACTGTTTGTAGTCAGTTTTCCCTTTATACAGAGAAAAGAGACACATCAATCCTGATAAAAGTATTACCTTATTAATTTCTTCTTGGCTGAGTGTTGTATATAGGGGGAAATCCACAATCTTTAGCACTTCTTGGGGTGCTATTTAAAGATATTAGTTAAGCTAAGAAATCAACTGTTTGTGTGGGGTTTTTTTCACTATAAACTGTCTTTGAAGTTCATAGATAGCAAAGGTTTGTAATGATTGAGAAAGGTCTCATTATAAACTGATGGTGTATATGTAAACTATACTGGAAAGTCTTCATAGTCATCCATACAGCACTTTTAGCCAAAATTGCACTTGCTTGGGGGGGAAAAAAAAAAAAAGGTAATTTCTTAAAACATTTTGCTGCTATCTACAGTGCAGAGAATGGAATAGTGTCTCTCCAATTTTAGAATTGTGCTCCAGAGATGGGTACCTTCTTTCTGGCACTAGGCAGTATCACCTTCTAGTATCAATTCTTTACTTTGAACGAGGTTCTTTAAGATTTTTGTAGTACCAGATCTGAATATTTCACAAAAGTGCAGAACCTTCTGTACTGCTACTCCAACTAAGTAGATAATAAAGAACTTGATGAAACCTAGTTATTTGTGTTTGAGTAGAGTGAGAAGGTATATATCCCCTTCTGACAGTCATTGTAGGATTAATGAGCAGAACAGCTATTTCTCAGCCTCACAGAATTAGGGAGATAAGAGGCTTATAGGCCTGAGCAATAAAAGGATTTCCTACTTGATAGGCTGAGGAAGTTCAGCTGCACCAGATTAGGAGGGTTCTGTGTGGAGAGCAAGCCATGGGAGTTCAGTAATGGGGGTTTTTAGATGAACTTGCAATTGGGCTGCAGCCTGACAGAAAAGGGAATGCAAGGCTTCCTTGAATTCTCCTTCCCAACAGTTGTGCCTAAGGATGGGGTGAAGATTTGGGGTGGGAATTTTAGTAGGGAAGAATGGACACCATTAAAAAGAGTGCTTATCAAGCTGGAAATGTTGATGACCTTTGTGAAGCTTATTAATATGTGTCCCCTCAAGGCCTTGTGACTGCCTGTTCTAGAGTTAGTGGAACAGCAATGAGGGAGCTGCGAGGCTGGGTGGGTGACTGCAGTTCTGCTTCTGCACTGGCATGTGTCCTCTGGCCACTCTCTTAAAGAAGTCAAATGTTTAATCTGGTAGTGTTTTCGTAAAGCTGTCAAATTCATATTTACTAGGCTGCCGTGTTCTTTTGTTGTTTTTTTTCTTACTATTTTTTTTCCTGAGCAACAATTAGTGTAACACTTCATATTTAACCTGTGGTTAACTTTTATTCATGGCATCTTCAGGTAGGAGTTTTTTATTGTCACTTGTCCATAAGATCTTCTGGCTTTACTCTAGGTCTCTGGTTGAGATTTGTGCCTTTTTTTTAATGGAAGGCCTGGATGCAAGCTTCCCTTTGAAGTAATTTCCCTTGCAATAGGACAAGGGGTAATGGTTATAAATTAAAGAGGGTAGATTTAGACCAGATGTAAGTAAGAAATGCTTTACAGTGAGGGTGGTGAAACACTGGCACAGGTTGCCCAGAGAGGTGGTAGATGCCCCATCCCTGGAAACATTCCAGGTCAGGTTGGACGGGGCTCTGAGCAACCTGATCTAGTTGAAGATGTCCCTGGTCACTGCAGGGGGTTGGACTAGATGACCTTTAAAGGTCCTCTCCAACCCAAACTATTCTATGAAGTAATTGCAAGTACCATGCTCAGTGAACAGTTATGTTCCCCTTGCCATTGGTTGTCTTTCATTATCAGAGCGGTTGAGATTGTCTTGATGTGGTATTCTTTGCGTAAGTAAAAGAAAAAAGTTAAAATCAGTGGTGACAAGCATTCTTCCCTCAAACAGATGGACTCTGTGACAATCAATGTCGACCTGTTTTTGGTTGCTGTTGCTGGGCCTGTGAACTCTAGAATTAAATGGTTTTCCAAAGGTTGATATTTTCTTAGTTTTACTTCCACCCTGTCTTATATACTTTTGCTCCAGGGTTTATTTTGTTGTGCAGAACCTGTATTCCTAATTAAAATGAGGCTTCTGTGATGAGAAATAAAATGAGTCTGTGCAGGTGTCAGTGTGTAATGCTGACACACGTTCTGTTTTTTCTGTCGGATAGCTCTCTTACACTTCTACGTTTCCTTGTTGTTGCAAATGCTTGGTGGCTTGCACAAGTTTGGCTAGGCAAAATGGGAAGACTGTGGAGGTACGGGTGAAGTATATAGAAAGTGTAAGCACGTATGACTCGTGTTGAAGGATTGACACACAGAAATATGGAATTTAGGTAGTTCCTGGATGCCTGGAAACTTTTTAACGTTTGGTAAGCTAGTGGTGGTTTTGTTGTTGCCCTTAGTACAAGGAGGATAAAGGATGCACCAATTGTCTGGCATGTGCTCACATCAGAAATTTTTTCTTCTGCCCCCTCTCCACCTCTTGAAGTGGATACCATGATGAAATGAATGTTAATAACTCCAAGACCCAGAGGAAACAGCTCGATGCTGATGA